GAGCGTAGGATCAAACTGAAATTGAGAACCCCAAGGAATGCTGTTTGCAGCTTGCCACAAGTAGTCACAGCCCACCGGGATACCCGGCCTCTTCACTAGAACCAGTATACACACTGGCTCTGATGAAGAGGTAAACTAGCCTAGTGAACTAGACCAAATTCTTGCTTTGCAAAGTTTGGTCTAGGCATGCTCCATTGGAACCTCAGCAGCTCCTACCAGGACTCTGGCTAGCCAATCACAGCTCTCTAGAGGGGTTTCAAACACATAAAGAGCTGTGATTGGTCCATAATGGTGGGCCAATCATAGTGCTCTATCTGCTTAGTGAACAAATCACAGAGCTTTATCCGCTTTGTGGGCCAATCAGGGCACTCTATATGCCTGGTGGGTGGGATGATGCAACAGCGTGAAACAAGAGTATGTCACATTCATTGTCCAGTGGAATGTGGAGATCATTTGAAAGACAACGGTAGAACCCGCCCCACAACCGAGAGCCGTCAATGGAGCGTGGCCAGACTAAATAATACATTTATTTAGTCTGGCTTGCCAGGCTAGAGGTAAACAGCTATAGTGAGGTAAAATTTCAGTACAACCTAAAAGCTTAATGTAGATAGTTAGTCCACACATTGCTCACATTAAAGTGAATGAGTTACACATTATGCAAAAGTCATCTTTTGCATCGATTTTCATTTTCTTTCCATTTGCTGTTAGTGTTTAGTTTCAGGGATTAATTCATGTAAATTAATTTAAAATGTTTTTAAACGCCTGAAATAAGCTGTTTCACAATGGGGGTTGTGTGTGGTGGCATCAGCTGGCATAGGCCAGACTATGCCTGCTCTGCCTGCTCACCACAGCCATGGAATACACCTCATCAACACGCACTAACACTGTACTGGAGCAGGCGGAGGGAGACTAGGGGTCTTAGCACACCTCTGTTGTTGCTTGGCTTCCTGGGGCTGGAGGCTAGGAGGGGGAGCTGGCCGTCTTGTTGGGTTCTGGGATGGTGGGATGCTTTGCTCAGCGTTGAGCGGGGGAGCCTGCTCATCAGCATCCCAGCAGAAAGGGGCAAACCAGTGATGGTTGTACCCCTTATGCAGCAGTACTGGGACCAGATGGAAAAGACATGACACATTACTTTCACTGATCCAATCAGAATCTGACAGATCTGACGAAGGCGTGGTTTTGGATCAGTGAAAGTAATGTGTCATGTCTTTTAACGCTACATGAAATGAGTCATGTTGGAATATTTAAAGTCATAGTACCTTTATATTCTATAGGATTATAATAAAGTACTTAATATTTTGATTTCACAGATCGGTCACATCTTATTTGTTGACTAACACTTGGTTGGATTAGTTTTATTAAAATAGAGTTCTTTGATTAATTAAAAGAAAAGAGTTCATTGTTCTGTTGAGCTGAAAAGAAGCAGTTTAGAAGCAAATGCATGAGACCTTGAGACCATATCTCATGCAGACTAGTCCTGTGCAGAGGAGGAAAAAACAGTCATTTCATTCCATTACATTAATGTACTTCCTAAACAAGTAAGGTTTTTTGGCAGCTACGCTAAGAAAAAGACACAAAAACAGAAGGTAAGAATTACCTAAATACTAATAAAAAAAATTAAAAGAAATCCTTTGCTTTGCTGAAGTATCATATCAGGACTCGGTGTCAACAGATACTCAAAATCAAATGACTTGGATCAGGAGCAAAAGGCATGATCGAAAAATCCCTTTTCCGTAATCCGAGTACATCGGTTTCAGTCACCACAGCTTTAGTATGTGTGAGGCGGAGTGATGTCTTTATATATCCTGCTCTCTTGTTACTCTGATGAGGCCCAGGTGCTACCTCAGCATTAAAATAAATCATACATGCTGTGGTTCAATGAGGGCTGTTGCTTCTGTGCAGCGCGATTAGACTAAACGGGAGCCTCCGCCAGCCATATAATCAGTCAGGCCTGTTTCAATAAAGTCGAATTTAACCTCTATCTTCAGCAAACAGCTACTCTAAAAGCCTCACAAACGAGAGCTTTATTTTCCCCAGGAAAACGTGTCAGCGTTCCAAAACGCAGTGTTTTCCCGAACAGTGGTCACATCCTCATCAGCTTTGCCAGAGAATGCATCAAAACAATTGCTCCTACTTTGTATGTCGGCATGGGAACAAGGCAAGAAAACTCCCATCGTTTCTAGTTTTTCCTGCAGGTTTGAAGTTGATGTAGCGATAGAGTCGGTACCGATATGTGCCTAATATGTCACGGCCGTGCCACTCCCCCAGTCTGCGTTCTGATTATTGACCTCCGCTGAATCGCTGGGGCTTTAATTAGTGCTGGTGTAACTAATTGGCTTGCATAGAAGTGACATTGATGGGAGGCAAAAACTCAATTAATGAGGAGAGGCACTGGCACAACAAATTTTATTGCTAAAAGTAAAAATGAATGTCTGATGTTCCGATGAAATTGGCATTTATACAGAGAGCAGCAAAACAATGCCATTCATGGCTGCCTGCGTGTGTGTGTGTGTGTGTGTGTGTGTGGGTGGGTGGGTGGATTTGACTTTCTCCTGTTCTTTTTGCACACGTTGGGCTTTGTGTGTGTGTGTGTGTGTGTGTGTGTAGCTCTGTGTGTGCACTCTTCATCAGCGCTTGTGTAACTAGATGTTCATTTAGTTGACAGCAGAAATCTCTCAAGCGCTCGATGTGCTACGATGTAAAGTATGCTAACCTTTAAAACAAAGCTTGCCCTGGCCCCGCTCATTCTGCTGTAATTGCTTGCACCGGGTAAGCACACTCGCCTGAAAAGGTTATCGCATTCCTTGTCAGATGTCACGATGAATGAGCAAACGTAACAGAAATTAAAAATCTGAAATTTGGGATATCTTCCTCGTACTTACCCGATGCAGAGCATTTGCACAAACCCGCGCTCTGTTGTTGAAGCTCTGCACATTATTAAAAATAAAACGGGCCAACAGCGGAGGCAGTCACAGGTTTAACACACTTAGGAGGGAGAGATGGATTAGACTGCTACATTAGTATTCACTAGAGTCTAGTTTCTGTTGCCATATCCCATTTTCTCTCCTTGTGTGTCTGTGTTTATGTTAACATACACAGCCGTGATGATGCATGAGTCTGGTCCAGAAATAATTATGTGTTATGTGCGCACGCATCCTTTGTGTGAGTCACACACAAGTGATGATGTGAAGAAAGACTGATGTGCTTTAAACGTGTGTGTGTGTGAGTGTGTGTGCTTGCAAAAGCTGATTATGTGCAAATATAATTACATGCAAAGCACAGTAAGTGTTGTGCTTGTCCAAACTGATTGTTTGGTTTAATTGTGAACCAGTGTCGAATGAACGTGACTTGTGGACAACTTACTGGTGGACGCCATACATGATCATTTATGTCTCACCCACATTATCATGCTTGTGTGTGTACATGCTTCTGTATTCAAGCGTGTTTGTGTTAGATGATTGAGCAGCCTGGGGTGATGCCACCAAGACGTTATGCAGCGCTGAAAGACTGAAGGTGAATGACGAGCAATGGCTGTCACTGCCAGAAGCTGGCTCGGGGTTCAGCACCACTGCCTGCTGGACCCTGAAAACTCATTTTGACAGATGCATTTCCTCCCTTGCTGTTGATGTGCAGTAGGGGGTTGATGATGACACTCGCAGGCCCATGTGGTTCCGAGCGGCCTTAGCTAGCACCACGTTGAGAAAACCAGCAACTTATATTTCAGCTTCAGGCATTTAGTAGGTGTAACCACGTGCGAAAAGCTGCCATTTTACCAAACCCAGCGCCAGCTCCACAGTTCATAGTTTTCATCAAGTCTTTTTGTAGAGTAGTTCCCATTTTGACTGTATTTTATTTTGTGTCAAAATACCAAATCACAGTTGTTTCCCGTCAGACATCAGTCATTAAGAAAAAACACCCAATTTGTTTTTCCAAAGTTCAAATTTGAACTTTTGAATCTGAACAGAATTAAAGGTGCAAATTCTACAATGAAATAATCACAAAACTAATGTCTCAATCATGTTGGAACAAAACAGGTTTGATTCTCGGCCGACTGTTTTTTAAATAGAAAAAAAATAAAATTTGGGACGTAGTTATTGTTTACACTCTGAGTTTGTGAGGTTGCCGAATTTGCAGCGAGCTAACGTAGAAGCGCCAACATTTGTAATTCAACACCAGCAGGCAAAAAGCTCCAGAGTTGTTTAAAGAACCAAATCCAGTGAACAGGAGCGACCTGGAAGTTATGTCTTGTACCCCTAAGAAGTCACGGCGTCTTTTTGTTTTACTCTAACATTGGTTGAAGCAGGCTAGAAGCTAACGATGAGCTAACAGTGCTCACAGTGAATTAGAAGCAAATAGTTAGCGATAAAAATATCTCTAGCTACTTTTTCAAATACCAACAACAGTGAAATGTGTGTGTGAAGTGAATAAGTCAATCAAAGTGTTTTACTACCTTTAATTAGGTGTTCAGAACTATAACAGCAAGCTAACAGCAGGACGGCAAACAACCACACTTCCTGTAATCCCAGGGACAAGCTACCGTGATAAGTGTAGTACATGCTCCCTACCATAAAGAGTGCTTACAGCAGATATGACTATGAATTTATCTACTTATCAACTTACTGATTATGAATCATCTTTGCTTGTCATCTAGAATCTTCTGGCATCATTCGAACTGACAACAGCCGTGAAACTCAGGGAACGGGATTTAGAGTAATAGTTTTGTTCAAAAAATGGACTTCAGTTACTACATTTGACCACAGGATGTCATTATTACAAATTGCACCTTTAATTCAGAATTATTGTGTGTTTCAAAACAAACTGCACATATACATGTATCAGGAGGTAAGCTTGATGTTTTTCAAAAATAAAATAAAAACACATCTGCTGCTCAAATAATTGACATGTGGCTCAGTGCCACAGGATAAGAGGAGCCTTTTGAAGCATTTCCCAGAATGTTTTCTCAGTGCCTTTTTTTTTTCTCTTCTTTTTTCAAATTACAGGGAGCAGACACAGAGGATGTGACCCTTATTCTAACCTGAAGAAGACGACACAGAGCATGACCTTTCGGTTGTCTGCTGAGCCAAAGAACAGCCAGGGAGAAGCCTCCCTGGCTACAGAATAGCTACTTCCCTTTTTTCTACCCAAAAGCCCTTTTCAACCCTGCTTCAAGCTACGCTTTGGGGCTCAACTGCTCCCTGGACTCCACCAGGAGGCTTACTACACCCCGTCTGCCAGCTCAGATAACTCTCTGATTTGTTGGCCACCACATGTTTGGGGTGACTGTGTGTGACTGCCGCCGCCGCCCAATCTCGTGCAGCAGCAGCAGCCTCCTGCAACCCCGATCTGCACCATGCAGTGGAGACGGCGACACTGCTGTCCCATCAAGATGACCTGGACCATCAAGCGTTCACTCTTCCGGACCCATGTGGCTGGCCTACTCTCTTTGGCTCTGCTCTTTACCTTTTTCTTATTTTTCAGCCACCAGGACTGGCTGTCAGGGCGCAGTGGGCCTCGTGATAACCCACTAGCATACACCATCAGGGGTTTCCGTAGTCCCAAAGGAGAGGCCAACCAGAGCAGCTACCTGAGGAGCCTTTGGAGGGAGACAGGGTATGTAGCTCCAAAGCCACTGCTCAACCTTAGCGCTCAGCAAGCGGAGGGGGCATTAGGAGAGTCAGGAGGAGTGGGACGCGAAGCTGCAGCAGGGGCCAGGATGGGGGTGATGGGGCTTGGGGATTCCATGATCACAAACAACAGTTTACAGAAAGAGATGGATGTAGGGGGGAAGCTTAATGCTCAACCGTACCGCTTCATCCTTAACGAGCCTTTTAAATGCAGGGACTCCACACCCTTCCTTATCCTCCTCATCGCTGTTGAACCTGGACAGGCTGACGCACGGAACGCCATCCGTCACACATGGGGAAATGAGAGCGTAGCGTCGGGCTTGGGCTTTGTCCGACTTTTCCTTCTTGGCACACCCAAGAACTCTGAAAACTTCCTTCAAAATAGCATCGAAGAAGAGAGCCGCATTTACCATGACATCATCCAGCAGGACTACCAGGACACGTACTACAACTTAACTATCAAAACTCTGATGGGCATGAACTGGGTGGCCACCCACTGCCCACACGTTTCCTACGTGATGAAGACAGACAGCGACATGTTTGTCAACACAGAGTATCTCATCCAGAAGCTGCTAAAACCCGACATGCCACCCAAACAGAGGTACTTCACCGGCTACCTGATGAGGGGCTATGCACCAAATCGAAACAAGGACAGCAAGTGGTACATGCCACCAGAGCTTTATCCAAGCGAGCGCTACCCGATATTCTGCTCAGGCACAGGGTACGTGTTCTCAGGGGACATGGCAGAATTGATCTATCAGGCATCGCTCAGCATACGCAGGCTCCACCTGGAGGATGTTTACGTGGGGATCTGCCTGGCAAAGCTGCGTATTGACCCGGCACCCCCACCCAACGAGTTCCTCTTCAACCATTGGCGCGTCTCTTACTCCAGTTGTAAGTACAGCCACCTGATCACATCCCATCAGTTCCAACCCAGTGAACTCATCAAATACTGGAACCACTTGCAGAGCAACAAGCACAACGCCTGCATCAACATGGCCAAGGAAAAGAACGGCAGGTACAGACACAGAAAGTTCCACGGAGAGAGGCCTCCGTGATCCTTCCTTTGACTTACCACTTGCCTCAAAAAACAAAGAAATAATAAAAAAAAAAGGATGTGTGCACTGGAGATGGAATACTGGATTCAGCACTAAACACTGTATAAGGAAAAGCACATTGTTTTTGGTACTGTGTACAGTTGATGATTCAAACTATTTTTTTATTTCATAAAACTGTATTGTCAACCTACGGAGCTATTTCTAAAAGGGAGAATGGGAATGTGATGTCGTTGTGTGAAGCATGCAGAAACGGAGCTGCAGCTCAAGAGAGGAGTTTGTGAAAATTCAGGTGCCAAGCGACAGGTATGGAAATCCATGTTCTCGCAACGGTAGACGAGTAAGCTACGCTCCACAGATGGTAAAAAAAAAATGGCAGTTGTGTTTACACGGACAAAGGGAAATGTACATGTATGATGTTGGGAGGTTACACTACCTACATATGAATGACACATATTTAACGTTGACCAATTATGCTGCCCCGTGTCTGAGTGTTTGCTTTACTGATCCATCAGACGAGAAGTTTGTCACGTGTTTTATTTTTAAAAACCTTCACCACATCCACAGTCACATCAGAAATGACTGAGATTGTATTTTATAAAGCTTTACATTAAGTATGACTCAGCACTTGAGTACTTGTGCAATGAATCAAAATTAAATGTAATGAATTCAACTTGTTTTGGGCTCTGTGTGTTTTGAATGGGATGCTGTTTCAAGAAACTGACAAATCGAAGACCAGAGCGTATCTCAGGCAGGTCCAGTCACTAATGTGTAGCACTTTATAGATGTCATTGCTAATTTTCATCCTGATTAAACCAATTTAAATAATCCAGTCAACATTATTTCCCCTTTTTATCAACAGTATAGCTCAGAACTAGAGCTGCACAATATATCGCAGATTTGTCGCCATCGCGATATCAGCATGCACAATATGGATATCACAAAGAACAGATAAATATCGCAATGAATTGTCAGCTCAAATTTTTGCTACACATAATGCATTCTGTCAAATTGAAGCTTTATGCTTTTTTAACCAATCAAACAGAGCTCTTCACTCATTTGGCCAAATGGGCGGGTTCTCATAGGTTAGATGCCCGCCCCTGAGGGGGACGGCACTTCATTTTGATGGTTAGCAAACACCTGAGTTAGCGTTGTTCTTCTCTTTTTGCTGATTCTGCTTTTCCCGAGATCCACCGATTGCATTTTCTTGTTCGTTTTATCTTATTTTTTGTTTGTTTGTTTTTGATTATTTTTGTTCCTGAGTTAAGTTTTTATTTACGGTAAGTGATATCGTCATCGCAATTTTAATCATTGTTATGGAATATCGCAGGTTTTCCTAATATCGTGCAGCCCTACTCAGAACTCATGGATCATCACACGACTTCAGCTGAAAAACAAACAGGACATCAGCGAGACACGTTTCTATTCAATTACAATGGAATTTCCCATTTAAATAAGAAATCTCTGAAAGGAGCGAAAGCGCGATTGGTCCTCCTGTCGCTTGAACGTTTTCTGCTGCTCTACGCTCAAATGGCCAATGTTATGTTATAAATGTGGCTGAGCTCAAAGCAGTTTGTTCATTGCTGCTGCAGCAAAATGAAAACAGAAACAGGAAGGGTTCTGGAAAGTACATGAGACCACATTTGAGGAAATTTGGCTCAAATTCCTGGAAAAAAATGTTTTATAGTCCAGTTCACTATTACCGCATCTGACTTACTGTGCAGAAGTTTGGGGAAAGACATACGAGACAAATATACAATTATTAATATAATGCAAAGAGGGCAATTAGACTATGGGCGGGATAGAGACCATAGTAAGGAAGTCTCGAGAAAGACGGACATTTCCTGACTGGTTCAATTTACAAAAAGCATTTTCAAGGCAAGACACGACCGGCTTCCCTAAAAAATAAATAAATTGTTTGAAAAAAGGGAAGGAGGATATATTTAACAGAAAATTTAAACGGATATGCAACTAGAACGACAAAGTTGGAGTATGTCAATATCAGTTGCTAAATTATGGGACGGTCTAACAGTTACCATACCATACCACTTTTATTTATATAGCACTTTAAAAACACAGCCATACGGCCGACCAAAGTGCTGAACAGTCGCACAAATAACAGAGATAAAAACGTATAACAGAGCAATAAAATACAGTCAACAAATAAGAAACAAGCCAATATAAAAGTACAGATAAAAACCTTACAATGGTTGTTAAAATAGGAGTAGTAGTTGACATAAAACAAAGTAAAAGCATAATTCAGTCCAAAAGAACCTGTGTTAGTTAAAACAACAGTTTCAACCAGGACAGTGGAGGAAGGTTCAGAGGTGTGTGTGTCTTTTGTTGCGTTGTGCTTTATTTTTTAATGGTCCGTCAGGATTTCAATGAATTTGTTTTGCTTTCACTATTTGAATGACAGCGGCTTCGGTAAAACATAGTAAATGGCCTGTATTTGATAAAGCGCCTTTTAGAAACATGGGACACCCCAAGGTGCTATGCAACACCAACTGGTGGTGATGAGCTACATTGTAGCCACAGCTGCCCTGGGGCGCACTGACAGAGGTGAGGCTGCCGAGCACTGGTGCCACCGTCCCCTCTGACCACCACCAGCAGGCAAGGGGGGGTTAAGTGTCTTGCCCAAGGACACAACAGCGTCAGACCTGACACCTTCTGATTACGGGGCGAGCACTTGACTCCTGTCCCACCTTCGCCCAATGATGATGAATGAAGACATCATTTATTGACACATTTTAGTTTGTCTTTGTTTATTTTTCATCGTTGGAAGAAGGTGCCGCGCAAAGGCTGTAGAGCCTTAAGCCTTATTCACACAGACTGCAGAACGGATGCGGTCCAGCTTCCGTACCGCTTCCAGACGGACTGCCATTCACACTGATGGGGGTTTGTGTGCTGAAAATCTCCGGATTTCCACTTTCACAAGAACGCCAAATGATTTAAACTGTGATACAATACTTTTAAAAATATACCGATTAAAAACAAAACATGAACAATGATCAGACACTGTGAACTGATGTTACGGCGAGCAGAGCCCGCTGATAAATGGAGAAGGAAGTGACACCACCAACAGCGGCGAAGCTCTGAGGTAGACTACAGTGGTTAACATAATCAAAAACAAGGTAAAAATAACACTTTTGCTGTGTTAAAAAATAACCAATAATGCATTTGGATGAAACAGAATAAATGTACAAAAGATGTTCAAAAAACTAAACTGACATCGGTGTCATTAATAACTAAACAACAGCCAGCAAAAATGTGACAAGTCTTATTTTAGAATATGCTGAGTGTGCCTCGCGGTTTCACGTCCCACTTCCTGTCTGGCTCTTGTGATTTCTTCAATTTCATGACAATCTGCATGTGGCGTCTGGACAAATGCAAAACCTTTTCATAGCTCCGGATCTGCACTGCCTTGTGTGAATGCTCCGATTAGACGGAATGATTTTTGGTTTTGCCAGATGGTGGAACGGCGGGCGGCGCACTGCGAGCACGGCCGCAGTAGTGGAACAGCTCTGATTGACTACAACAGGACCGTTTTTGCTGCAGAGATCGTGCCGGAACGGAGATAGTGGAATTTTGGGGTAACCCCAAAATTCCACTATCTCCGCTCCGCCCGCCATTCTGCCATCCGGCCAAAATAGGATTGATTCTTTTTTTGCCGGACGCCGGAGCACCTCCGCAGTCCATGGACAGAAATCACAACCGCCCAACAGGAAAGGGAGCAAGCACAACTTCCGTTATTTCACAATAAATCGATAAACAAAAAGCGTTTTTTGTTTCATATGCACAGGTTTAACAACTTTTAACAACTATCAATGGTGGTTGAAGTTTAAATGCAAAAAGTAAGCCATAAATACAGTTTCTACTATCAAAGTACTCACCCTTTGTTGATCCAAACACTGCTGATCTCTCAACACAAATGATGGGAAGATTAAACAGTTCATTTCGATGCTTCTCCCACACAACGGGTGTTTGGATCTAACTTCCACGTTTATTGCTCGGACTCTATCGCGAGATCTCAAAAATCCCGCGCATGCCTGTTTGCGCACCTCAGGTCTCCGCACCGGGGCGGAGCCGTTGTAGAGCGGGTATAGAAAAATTTGAGTTCGGAAGTGAGCGGCAGCGGAGCGGAGCAAGTGGAATTTTGGGGTAACTCCAGAAACCCTAAATTATTTTTGTTTTAAACGTTAGAAAGAGAGAGAGAGAGAGAGAGAGAGAGAGAGAGAGAGAGAGAGAGAGAGAGAGAGAGAGAGAGAGAAATTGATTTTGAGACTTTGCATTTGTGTCATTTCTCAGAGATGTAAGTAAACGATCGGTGTGAGTGAATTTAGAGGCAGGATTCTTGTAAGGGCCCATTTTGAGGTTGATGACATCACAGCGCAGCGACGAGTACTGTCTGAATTCCAAGAATACTCAGTTTCGCGTCCTCAAATGCGTCCTCGCTCCACCCACATTTCGAGGGCGGGTTTTGTGGATCCTCACCCAGCATGCTTTGCGCTTTGGCCGCTAGACTCCACAGATTCCCAACACTGGCTGACGAAGTGGGAGAGCAGTCCAGTTTCAAATGTAAGTTTTAAAACAAAATAACGGTAAAAAAAAAAAATACGTGTTTGGGCTTTTTTTGTTTGTTTTTTTATATAAGGTGTAATACCGGATATGGTTTTTTCATGTAATTTAAGGCTATAAAACACCCCACCGTAAACTAGCTTGAATCTTATTTAATCCTGTGATTGAATGCCAAATAATAACCAAAACTAGGTTCATATAAATACAATTTTAAGAAAACATATAACTGTCAAAGAGCTTGAATGTTTTTTATTTGTTTTAGGCATGTAAAAATAAAAATAAAAAACCACCACCCTTAACTAGCTTGATTGTTCTCTGATAGTTTCATCGCTAATATATTTTGTTTTTTGTGCTGGGGCATCGGAACAAACCAGCACCCTCATCAAGCTGAGAGGGCAAAATGAGGAGCTCTTCACAGGAGCCAAAAACTCTGCCACAGTGGCATGGAGGTACGAGAGTAAACCATTTACACATTATGAGTACTATAGAGCTCCGGACCCCACGTGACTCTCAGTTAGTAGACGCCATTTTGGCAGGTAAAAAAATGTAAACAAACACATGAACGTGAACGGGATCAGCTTGGATTTTACTTCGTTGGAGTTTACTTCCCACTTTAAAACCGAAGAAATCGTTTTATATAGTCAGAAATTAAATAGACTAAACATCTCCGACCCTTACCGTGCCCCTGGGATACTTTTTAAAAACGCCAGAAGCTGTCGAAGCGGACTTCTTACCGGACCTGGCCGGGGAACCCCTTGGGATTTACCCGGAGGAGCTGGCTCCGGAGAGGGAAGTCGGGGCCTCTCGACGCTACTGCCCCCGCAACCCGACTCTGGATAAGCGAATGAAAATGGGTGGATGGATGGACAAATAACAGATTTACATGTAAGTAGTTTAAATAGAGTGCTGTGCTGTTTGAATGTATAAACTGAACTCCAAGAGAAATCACTAGTCTGATTTTTTTCCATGAATAAAATAAACATGTCAGGCAGGAGCGTCTCATGATCTGTCTGAGATCTGTCTCGGTGAGACAGATAATTGCAATCCAAAGTGCTTTTCATGTGTGATCTGACAATTGATCAACCATTGCTTAAAAATT